GGTTGCCAACATTTGATGTAATGTAAATTATTGAAAATTAAACATTTTGTACATGTCAATACTAGCATAGCAGGGAATAGTTGCAGGTAGTCAAGCTTAATTGAATGACCCAAGAATTCAACTTAAACTAGTATGCACTTATAAGCAATGGCAAGTTCCATCAAATAATCAATGTATCACTTTTTTCGGTGAAATATTTGTTTTGTTTTTAGTTAAAAGGTTAAAAAAAAGACAATTAGAACAAAATTACCGATTGGAATTGTTTTCCCATGGATTTTATCAGCATATCCAGCATTGTATCGCAATAATTTAATTGCACCCTCTATATCACCATGTGCAGAATCATATGGTTTGCCATTGTCCAAAGTCTCCAACCTCTAAAACATAAAAAATAATAAACAAGCCATGCATGGCACAGTCCCTGTTAGTTATCAAATTTAAGATATATAGTTTTGTTTATAGTAATATAGTACGGTTTTCCATTGTCCAAAGTCTCCAACCTCTAAAACATAAAAAATAATAAATAAATTGTACGTAAGAATAAAATTAAGGCACTTGTACACATGCAAATGAATAATTGGTTTTAAGGACAATCACAAATATATACTAGTAATATTAGTTTATATGAAGATCATTCAGACAAGTTTAGAAAGTATATCATATTTACTCTATTAGAAGCGCATATAAATTATCAATTGTTACAGTATTTTTTTATATTAGATCATAATCGAATTTTATTTTGTTGGGAACGCACACACCTCTGTCATTTACGCACACACCTCTGTCATTTACGCACACACCTCTGTCATTTACGCACATACCTCTGTCATTTACGCACACACCTCTGTCATTTATGCACACACCTCTGTCATTTACGCACACACCTCTGTCATTTACGCACACACCTCTGTCATTTATGCACACACCTCTGTCATTTACGCACATACCCCTGTCATTTACGCACACACCTCTGTCATTAACGCACACACCTCTGTCATTTACGCACACACCTCTGTCATTTACACACACACCTCTGTCATTTACGCACAAACCTCTGTCATTTTACACACACCTCTGTCATTTACGCACACACCTCTGTCATTTACGCACACACCTCTGTCATTTACGCACACACCTCTGTCATTTACGCACACACCTCTGTCATTTACACACACACCTCTGCCATTTACACACACACCTCTGTCATTTACGCACACACCTCTGTCATTTACGCACACACCTGTCATTTACGCACACACCTCTGTCATTTACGCACACACCTCTGTCATTTACGCACACACCTCTGTCATTTACGCACACACCTCTGTCATTTACGCACACACCTCTGTCATTTACACACACACCTCTGTCATTTACGCACACACCTCTGTCATTTACGCACACACCTCTGTCATTTACGTAAAGTGTTTGTACATTAAATAGAGCAAATGTGCATTGAGCAGTAATTCAAGCATTCTTGTGGAAATATTAGTCTTATATTAATCTTCAATTCGGCTGGAAACTCCTTATTGAAATGGCCATTTTAATCAGATTTTGTGATGCATACAGACAGGGTTGTCAACTGTGTGTTTGTGATATATAGCATATATGCAAGGGAATCTACAAGTCCATGAGACAGAGACCGATAAATCCTTTTTTTCAAGTAATTAAGCATTTTTGACGAAATATTGGAATTATAAAGTTAGTGTGTACTTACTGCAATATAATCAACATCTCTTTCAACCAAGTCAGCTAATTTATACAATAATTTTCCTCTAGCTGATGCATCCATAGTACGCCATGGAGAACCAAGTTGAAATGCATCCTTTGCAGCTTTGACTGCAACATTTACATCAGCCTATGAGAAATACAAGTTTGGTATTGTGACTACATTGTTGTAATGACCATGTAATA